CTGTGTTCACCTTATTCACACGTTTATAAATTTAACATAAAAGCCTAGGACTTGCTCTGGCGGCGGTCTGCGCAGAGGGGCAATGGACGTCTTCCTTCGGTTACGTGCGTTGCGTCGGGGCGAAAGAAATTGAGGTCCACTCGAAAGACGGGCGAAAGGAGGCACCACCGTCACGACTAGCAAAGTGGTGCTCCTTTCGTGAAGTGAATAACGGTCATGGGGTATTCCTCGACACGTTTACGGCGTCAAAAACGCACCTGACACATAAATCAACTTTCGGGTCACCGCTAGACGAGTAGAGAGTAGCTTTAATATACGGATGTTTCCCCGCCCTGACCGGGTAGACACACAACTTGAAAGGACAGCCGAAGGGTCTGGCATCAGCTCCTCCCGTCTTCGTTGTTCGAAGTCCAAAGTTATTGGGTGAAAATCCGAATTTACTGACTCTCTCGCGCTCGAGAAGAACCCTCCGGCAACGTAAATAAATCAACAAGAAGACAAAGTGTTTTATGTAGTGTCTGGAGACAAAAAGACGAAATGGCAAAGTGAAGGTCTTTGTATGTGGTGCAAGGGAGTGAGAGCCGAGCGGTAGGTGTGGTGTGTACGTGTTCGGTGTGGGGAGAGAGTTAGAGAGAGAGAGAGAGAGCAGACGAGGAGAGAGAGAGAGAGAGAATTTCCCTCGTCGCTAGAGTTAGAGTGGACGTACTGGGATTATAGTATTGTACACACGAGACCTCTTTAGTCGTCTTGCCTGCTAGCCGGAATAATAATACGGCAAATTTAGTTAATAAATTTACACAAACAATTTAAAGCCGTAGTACATTCAACGCGACTATCCAAGATGTCGTGACGAAGGCGGCCGTCGCTCCGAGGGGGACTGGTTACGGTGCCGCGTGCCAGCATGCCAGGTGTTGCCGACCCCTGCTCTATAGTTTCCGCCCCATACTGCATTTCCCACTAACCACCAGTAGAGGTCAGTAAAGATTACAGAGGTGAAAAGTAGTGAGTCTGTGTATTTTATTACCATGTGAGTTGGTTAAGATGACGTCCTTGCCCTCCAGAGATTGCGGCGATGGATTGTTGAATGCGAAACGATGGAAGTTGACGGTGTGGTCGCACACGGCGCCGGGGAAACCCACGCTCCACTCGGCACTCTGGGAACAGTGGGCGGGGTCCAGCAGGGCGCTTAGAGGCACCACTTTATGGTTGATGGTTCCTGGTATCAGGGAAACATGGGGGACAGAGTTGATTTGAATGAAGGAATGGTAAGCACACCTGAGCCCAAACCTGATATTTGCTGTTTTAGGTTGTTATGACATGAAAATGAAAGACGTACTTTTGAACAATTCTCTTCATAAGGAGCCAATACACTTAGGGCTGAGGGTTACAAAGACAAACTTAATAAAACCGGAAATATTTTTAACAGTTTTTCCACATTTGCTTTAGTTAAATTCACGAATGAGAATTTATTTTTTCACAAGGTGTTCAAATCTCTTTGTTGTTTGTCTTATTGATTAAAAACAAATTGCACATGTTTTGGCACAAGACTACTACTCAGGGATTAAAGGGGCCTGATCAGGCTCATGTTCAGGTTCGTATTGTATTGTGTTCCTCTACTCCGACATGTCTCCATGCTTTCATTTTCAAAAAGCTCTTTATTGTTCTCATACTGCCTCTGCTGCAGCACCTCTTTTCACCCTCTGTCTGAAACCAGAGCCCAGTCTGCTCTGATTGGTGAGCTGGTTGGCTCTGTTGTGATTGGTTAACAGCTTTTTTGCATTGTTACATGTAGTCTCTACTACCGTATATGGCTATACCATGGCTATACACGACGTATCAAAGGGACACAGTAAGCAGTCAGGGATATTTGTGCTTTAGAAATATATTACAATAACAATCCAATTGTTACTTTCGTATCATTAATAAATAACACATTAAATGAAAACTGTAATGGCGATCATTTCCAGAAAAACCTTATGGATTGAGTGACTGATTAAAGGTGTAGTTAGTTAAATTAAAGACACATGGGCAATAGGTTGAAGACAGAAACAGTAAGAGATGACAGTACCTGTGAGGGAGCCGTCAATGTCCACCAGCTGTGCCTCGTGCTCCCACCTGAAGCCCACCTTGTTGGGTGAATTGAAGTACTTGATCCCAGCAAACTGGGCGGCCCAGCCTCCACAACGATCCAGGCACGTGCCGTCGATCCTGGCCACTCCGATGGCAGCGCACGAGCCCCTGTCGAAGTTAATGAACTTGGTGTTGAGGACACTCAGGCCATCGTCCAGTGGCGCGATGACCCCCCGGGTTGTGCAGTAGTCCTGTCCCAGTCCCAGCTCTTCCACGTGACCCACGATGGTGCAGTTAGACATCGTGGCCCCTCCTTCCTCGCCGAACCCGCTCACGGCCCACCGAAGGACGCGCTTTGCTTCGATACCGGCTTTCTCGTTGTTCACCATGATGAACTCGTGGAACTGCACTGAGCCCACGTTGACCCACTCGGCACCTTTCTCGCAGTTCCAGGTGGTGAGGCCTCGGAACACGGCGGGCTCGGGGGTTGAGGAGCGGCAGCCTCCGTTCTTCATGGGGAAGTAGTCGGTGAAGATCCAGATGCCGAACCAGCCCTGGGAGTGCACGGTGTTGTTGTAAAACTCACCCAGAGGAACCCTCTTCTGGCAGATGCTGCTGTCGTAGGACGGGCCATCAGGGTGTTCATGCATGCGGTACCAGAACCCGAAGTGGGTGCCCCCCGCTGCCGCGTTGTGGCGGATGATGTTGTTGGGGTTAGTGACCCAGTAGGCGGCGGGGGTGACGTCGTCGTTCAGCAGGCTGGTGCTCTGTTTCACAAACACAGCCAGGTTGTACTGTAGGACGTTCCCCGTCTCTATGCCGTCCTCGATGAAGAAGGCGCCGCCCATGATGTCGTAGATGACGTTGTGCTCCACCAGCAGGTTGTGGGTGTTGTGGATGGTGACGGCCCTGTTGAAGGTCTGATGGATGGAGCAACCCCGCACATAGGACTTGAATTTGATGTCTCCCATCAGATGCCAGTGGATGGGGTAACGCCCCAGCCTGAAGGCCTGTCCTGCATGGTAGATCTGAGGAAGACCAACATTTCGGTGTGAGGATGAGGAGAACAAATGCTGTAGACAAATAAAGAAGTTGAAATCATCTCACCTCAACATATTCCAGTCGGCCGATTACCAGATCCTGTCCCGGAGTGGTTGCGTGAAACATGATGGCCGCTCCAAACTGATCGCTGCCCGTCTCCTCTCCGAATCGCCCTTGGAAACAGGTTTGGGTGGCGAATTCACCTGTGGCAGGGACAGAAGGATGTTACTACTGCATATCCATATGCTGTATACGCAGAATTATGACATAAGCTCCACATTGATATCAAGTCAGCAGATTTATAATTAAATTAGAAGCTACTATTTTGTTCTGATTTAAAAGGCTCTCCGTACTATTTATAATGAATTCCAACTTTGTTTTGTAGTTTGTCTTAACTTTAAATAATTATGTCGGTTTTACAAGCATAAATCTTTACATGATGTATGTTTTTTCTTATTGTTTTAATCATTTATTTGGAGTCACATAATATTAATATAACATGTTGCCCAATTGACTGTTCAGTCTATTAAGTGATCCAAAAACTAACAAGCAATAAATACATAAATAATAAATAGAATTCGAGCTGATATTAATATTATTGGATGATGAAAACATCATTTTTTTATCATCAATTTATTTAAATGTTAAAGGTGACCTATCATGCAAAATGCACTTTTGTACGTCTTTTATACATGAATATGTGTCCCCGGTGTTCCAGGGAACTCACCAAGTGTCAGAAAACACAACCCTCTCTATTTTCCTCCATACCCAAATCTCTAAAAAAGGGGCTGCAACGGATCTGATACAGACTGATCCAGATTTGAACACTTCTATGACGTCACAGAAGTGGCGCTACGACTATTGGGCCAACTCCACCAATCAGGAGGAGACAGCCACGGACGGGCTAAAAGGCATGATCTGTTTGGTATTTTGAAAAATAAAAAGTATAAATATGCCTTATTATGGTCCTACACTATATTTAGACCCTCCNTATTTTATTGTATATGTTGCATTGTTGGAGGAGCTCAGGTCAGAAGAATTTCATTGCCATTTCTACACTGTAGCTGCTGAGATGATATGAGAATAAAACCTTTGGGTTTTATTCTCATATCATCTCAGCAGCTACAGTGTAGAAATGGCAATGAAATTCTTCTGACCTGAGCTCCTCCAACAATGCAACATATACAATAAAATACAAAAATACTAAATAAAAAGTTGTGCAAAAAGGCTATATGCTATATGCTTTCTGCATGGTGGTTTTCACATTAACCCTTTGTGTGATTGCATTCAATAGTTTGTACGTTTGCTGTATGTGTATCATCAGGTGAGTTGGACTGACTCGGTCCCAAATTCAAATCTGTAGTCTAGAGTGAAATTGGTGAAAGTCAATCTATGTTCATGCGTTTGCTTTACCACCAGTTTGGTGCCCTCGTCTTCAGTGGGCGTCACAGGTGCAGAGGAGGGTGTGGGGGTCACATCAGCAGTAGAAGATGTTTGCATCCATCCATTGCTCAGACACAAAAAGATAATCCACATCTTCATCTTGGCAGCATTTTCTTTTGGCTCAAATATTTAATATAAAATCTTTAGCTTATAAATCCATCTGAGGTCATTCTCCAACACTGGAGGGGAAAAAAAGGTTGGAGATTAAATGATATTGCAGCAGTGAATACTCCCAGAATATATCAATTATTACATGTTACTTGTTAGATGCTTTTATCCAAAGCGACTTACATACATTGAGTACTGTGGGCAATCTCCACAGGAGCAATTTGGGGTGAAGTGTCTTGCCCAGGGACACAACGACATGCTGACTGCAGTGGGGTTTGAACCTGCTATCCTCTGATTCGAAGATCAGCGCACTATTCCACTGAGCCACAGCCTCCCGGAAGTGGAAATTTTATAGCAAATGAGTCCAATATTGGTAATACAAGAACATGTTAAAGTAATTGTTGGTAGAATATTAAGCAAGACAGAAGACACATTCCCTATTGAGTGTTATCAGCCCATGTAATGCTGTTAATCTGTTATGATGTTCTCTCTACTAGCATGTTAATCCTAACTGGCCAAACTGCACGTATGACAGCAGGTTATGAAAGTGAAACAAAACTACTATGTTGCTATGTTTAAAAAAAGATCAATGGTTGTGCTAAAACAAATATGTTTCTTATGTCAGTTAAGTTTCACATGTCGGAGTACGGAACCTACTCGAAATGTAGCAGGCAGCTTCCATGAGGCTGATTCCTGTTGAGACAGCCGTTCAGCAGGCCAACAACATCTTTATGGATTAAACCTGTTATTAATATTGTTTGGGCCATGGAGCAACCTTATCATTCATGTGGACTGGTCTTTGTGTCTACCTGATGTAAGTTATTTTAGCGGTTTCTAGTTTCCATGAACTCCTGAGAAAAATATTTGTCTCTTTAGTCCAAAATGCTTTAGGATGTTCACCATAGTCTCTAACTGTGTCTGTCTGCTGCTTTTCTTCATCTGCAGGTAGTGGACAATGTACCTTTGCAGTAAACAGTGTACAGCTTTTCACAGCTGCGCTGCAGCTAAACATCAGTGAAGGAAAACAATGACAAAGCAGCCGGACAGAGAGAAGCTTTGAGTAGGTAGAGTCATCACTACAAAGCACCTTCACATTGTCACAATACTTCCAGATTATTGCAATAGTTTGTTATTTAAAATATATTGATTATAACTGCTTTAGGTGCCCCATATGCAGCATCTACACACATTGGTCACATCTAGCTGTGTGCTCATGGTGCCATTTATTTCAGGCTACTTTGCTCAGCAACCAACCAGCAAACTGCAGCAGCTGATCCAGGCATTGTTTCTAATATGTTTCTATTAAAAATGGTAAAAGCAGTGTTTTGTCTCTGTTCTACCCCGCTATGCTCAGTGTGTATTTGTTTATGCCAAACACAGGAATTAGAAACCTATGATTGAAACACACTTCAGGATAATAATATTGAATGTGGGACAGTTTAGCACCTCTGCTCCAAAAATGTATACATTGGAACACTGGATAGATTTTACGTCAAGGGTAATACAATAAAACAATGAACCTCTTCTCGACGTTAACTGAAAACCGATATTAATTGAAGAAAATAAAGATGGCTGTGATAGTTTGTTCATCATCACGTGATAAGAGTAGCAAGCTGCTGCCTTCAAGAAGTTCAACTACTTTTGAATTAGGGCACAGCTGTTGGGAAAAATAGGCTTTGTGCTTCACGATGGCATCACTTTCACTTTAAGTGCACCTTCCGCCTGTCTTCATTGACAGCAGTGGATTTGAGCATGTAGAAAATGTGGCATGTGTACGATAAGCGAGTCAAATTAACCAAACCTTAACGACTCTTTGAAATGCCCCAAATCCATCAGAAATCTGTCGGAATATGCAATTTAACCAAAATCTTCCATCAAATATACGACTACAGAAGGCTCTTATCTCCAGTGTATTAACTAACGTTAGAGAATGCAATGCCTTTAAGCTTCTTTGGCTCTAACGAAAAACCCTTTGACATCCAACGTCACAACAGCATGAATGAGTTAAAGCGGTCAGTGGGTGAAGTCGACAGGAAACATCCATCCTGTATTCTCACTGGGGGACAATATACCAGATTCAATCAGAAGATGGACAGAAATTACCATACAAGACGGAGGGGAGGGTCCCGGTACAGGACAGGGGTTGATGTGAGTGTGTGTCCGTGTCACTCAGAGGCTTCCTTTAATCAAGTTAGAGGATATACCATTTCAGTTAAAGCATGGAGGCAGAGAGGACAGGATGAAAATGAGGGATGAATGGAGGACGAGGATTGTGTTAACGCAATGACATTAGGAGGCAAAGAGGGCAAGAGTCACAGGGGGTGTTCTGTTAAGAAGCCCTCAAATGGAAGGTCATATTAAACTGATTCTGTGAAACACATTTTCATAACATATATTTGTTTTGTGAAACATTAGCTTACACTTTTTACATTAGCTCTTCTTCTTCTTCTTCTTCTTCTTCTTCTTCTTCTTCTTCTTCTTCTTCTTCTTCTTCTTCTTCTTCTTCTTCTTCTTAACAGTACATTCAACATGCAGCTTTTTGAGAGCCTGCTCAGTTTCATTTCAATTTCCCAATTCGGGATCAATTGAGTAAATCTAATACAAACCAGTTAACTGAACTTTGTATAACACAATGTCAGTGTGAACATTGAGATCAAAGCCATTATTGAATAACCCAAACCCTCACTGACCCTGACCCTTTTGTTTGCTTATTATAGTTCCATATGACACGTTTTAGACCAAGTAGCAACATTAAAAAACACCCAAAATAATCAGCACATCTCTTCCAGAATCTGATTCTAGGTTAAGGGTTAGGGTTAGAAGGTAAAACATTGAATTCTCTGTAATTTAAATATATATCTTCTCTGATAGGTATGTCTAATATCCCGGCTACTGTCCTGCTCTGAAGCCAAACTTTATTTTTTCCCTTAAGGCTTAACAGAAGCCAATCACTATATATATACCACTAAATGTCAGGATATTTGCCATGACTCATGCAATATTCTCACTATCTGGCATGCACACCTCAGAGAAGCTTACAGGTCAGCAGATAAGCTGCACACAGCGTTAAAGAAGAGTGTTTTACCTTCCTCCTCTTCCTCCTCTGCGTCCGTCCTCTTCTTCACCCCCTCTTTATCTGCCACTATAGGAACAGATGGCTCCTTTCTCTTCTCTCGATTCTTCCCTAAGACCCCCACTCCCCACCCTCTGCCCCACCCACTGCCACACTGAGAGTACAAATGTAAGCGTTTGTGGAAGCAGTGTCTTTCCTTCACTTCAGAAGATTCAACCTCAGTTTCCTCACTGTTCCACCTGTGAGCTCTGCATCCCATCGTTAACATACATGATAATAGATGCGTTGATTTGACACGATTCCGCTTTTCTAAAATGAAAGAAAGCACTCTCTGGAATCCTGCATTTGACCCGGGAGGATTAGTGAGTGTTACACAGCAAAGATGGGTTTAGATTTGTGTGTGCATGTTTCCCTGTGTGCAACATCTGCATGTGTATCTTCTCTCGTGACGGTATTAACATTTTACACACAATCCTCTTAACATGCGGATTAAAAACTCAAATGAAGACGAACAGATTTGTCTCTCTATCTGTGTTCCCTCGTGTTCTCTCTCTCTCTGCGAGCCAACATAGCTTTCACTGTGATCTATTTCTTTGAATACAGCTGCCTTCCATTCAACACTCTTGAAATGAAAAGCAGAGAACATGAAGTGGAATCACATACTTGGAAGACTGAGTGCATATTATTAGTACCTTGATATTGTCTATATGCAGATTCATGTTCAGAATAATATTCTCCATGCATTCCCTGTAATCTGCTCTTTTACCGCAAAGAACCACACGTGTGAGGCTGATGGTACAGAAGACACACATACAGACTTCAGAATCAAAATACTTGATTTCTCCTGGTGGGGACATTGGGTTTTGTATTTGTAATATTTTAGAAAATATAAATGTGGGTCCCACAGTAATATTGGGCCTAGTAATAGACATGATATCATATTGCAAACCTTTTTTGCATTTCTTTAACCTGTTTCTGATGTTCATGTGCCAGTTTAATATCTAGTAGGTAAGTGAGAGTTACCTTCAGGGGAATCCTTAGTGCCGAGAGCAGCCTCGTGCATTGATGTACTTGTGTATTAAAGTGATGAACAGTTGTATAGAAATATTGACACAAATGAATGTTGTATACAGTATGAAACTGTAACAAACTAGCGAAATGCAGATAATATATGATCGTTTATCGGAATGTGAAATGTGTGTCAGCCGCTATCGCTTGATTGGACTAATGGCTGTATTTGAGCCTCTTAATTGAACAGCGAGTTGTGTGTGTGGTGAAAGGTGTCAGTATATGTGTTTAGTGGGTTAATAATAAGCATACTTGTAGTATTCTATGTTTAATGTAAGTTTGAGCATGTGAATGAAAGTTTAGAATAAGACATTACTTATTGTAGCGTGCCCGGTGCAATTAACTAATTAAAAGGATTTGTATTGTATAAACTTTCGACGCATGGAAGTCCCTTTTATGTCCATGTATGCAACATAAAAGAAATAAAAAGGGATATAAACATAATAAATGTACAGTATAGTACAAGTCCTTGTAGCCAAAGGGACCCAGTGTCTGAGGCACAGGAAGGAGGCAGGACGTCCTCCTCAGAGACCCTCTGAAGACTCAGACGCTCCTCCTTCTTCTCTATTGTTTAACCCTGCATCTCTTGTCACATGCCATAAATGCTCCAGTAATAATGCCTAAAAGACAACAATGAAAACTGAAATGTTACTCGTGGTTCATCGGAGTTAGCTGCTGCTTCACCTGTGTGTGTGTGTGTGTGTGTGTGTGTGTGTGTGTGTGTGTGTGTGTGTATGTGTGTGTCAAGCTATTAATCTCAGGAGAACCAACCTGAGCTAATGCTAATGCTAATGTGTAATTGCTGATTCGCTATGTTTCTCCTCAGAAAATAAGTTCATATGAAAACATGAATCAAAGTTTTTGGGGTGAAGGGAGATGTAACATTTACTCTGTCACCATGGCAACAGGCCACTTCCTCATGAATTCAGCGGCTGGGACAGGTCAAAAGGTCACTTGGTGGTAATGATGACAGATGAAGGGTTAGTGGCTGGGGGGGGCGGGTGTTGTAAAGTGTCTGAATGGGGCTGTGTGTCTGTGACTGTGTGCTTCATCTTGCTGTTGCCCATAGCAACAACATGCTCTTTTTGGACTCCATGCTGACTCTTGTCTCTAAGTGACCGTCTGTGAAGTCATGCACTCATGGGACCTCTGTACATCTGCAATACAGATAGAATTTTAAAAGACATTTAATATTGAAGTTGTATATTATATATATGTATATATATATATATTCAATCTTTACAAGTGGAAGGAAATCAGAGGATGGAATATACATGGAGAAATGTGCCTGGCTAATACACTGAACAAATGATATTGGTAATGGCCCGCCCTGCAGCGCCACAAAGAGAGCAGTGTTGAAAGGATAGTGATGAGCTACACATGTGGTCTCATTTATGGAATTACGCACTCCTTAGTTAATAATAAAAGGAAAGGAGTGACCATTTGCAACCGGACGAAAATAACTAGACCAAAGCAATTGGGAGATTTAAAGCAACCCGCCCCCCTTAATATAATGCCGTTGAGCACAGAATTAGGCTACTAAACGCAAAAGCACGCTCCAAATGTAATGTCGAAATTGGAGTGTAAGACATCTTTTCAGAGACAGTGTGTCTTTGCTCTGAGGTATACTAATGTAAAAATATAAGATACACAAAACACAAAATATACCCTTTACAAATATGTTTTCTCTCTGTCATTTAAAGGAAATGATTAGATATGGAGTTGTTCTATGAGCTTATGTAGCTAGTTTAGCAAAGACAAACACTATTTATAGGAAGATTTTGTCATGGATGTTCTCTTTATATATCTATGGTGGTAAAGTAAACCGGCTCAGCTTCACTCTGAAAATAGCATTGTTGACTATAGAAAATCAAATATGGTCATAGATTTTACAGCCTGTCCTCCTACAAAAAACGACCATATAGGCCGATTGTTCATGCCCTTATTACGATCCAGAGACACGTTTTAAAGTGTATGTTGTTTCTTACACGACCACTATAGGTACTCTAGTGGTCGTGTAAGAAACAACAGTGTCTTCTTGATATTTTATATTCTATATTTCTATCATGCCTTCTACTTTCCCCCAATTTTGTATCTAGGCTACTCTTAATATTTGAATGTTTTCATCAAATAAAACATATTCAACAACAACATTCAATAACGTGCTTTAACCACTAGGCGGTGCGGGTTAAAAAAACAGTGTTGTAGTTAATAAAACATAACAATATCAAACATAATATGACTATTAACTTTATTGTGAAATTAAAACAGAACGGTAAAGGAAAATACAGTTTCAGTCTCTCGATTTGAAGCTTATGCATTGTACCATGAACCTGTATAACCTGTAACAGTAACTGCATGAGGAGTTGGAAAGGTATAAATAATATCTTTAAAAACTACAAAAAAATCCCTTTCTATCAGCTGTGCACCATTATGGTATAAATATAACCTATCTACCAATTGGATCAAATGTAAAAGTCAGCCGAATTACTGTTGATACTGCAAGGACACGTATTGTGTGAAAATAAATGGAAGATGTTGTTTAATTCCTAATATATTTATGATTCACGTCACATATTCAGTTTTGGCAGCATTTTTTACAGTTTGTCAAAAGGTCTTCTGATCCGGGCTCTATAAATAAAGAACAACGGCAGATATGTAATATTTAATGCAGCCGAACCGTGTATTACAATGCCGTTATGTGACGACTTCCAAAGATAAAAGCAAGAATAATCGGAATAAAGTATTTATTTATTTTTTAAATTTGATTTCATATTGCATAAACACCATATCCCGACATGCATTGCGGCTAAAACAATCGATGTTTTAGCCTATCAAAACCTCTGAAAAAAGAAAGGTGTCTCTCAGAATCGAAAGAGAAAAACCTATGGGAAAAACACAAAAGCATTGTACACAATTTAAACCAATTAATGTCGTATAATTAACAAGGATAAACTGATGTTTTTTAGTTGAGAGTACTGCAGATATCACTGTTAAATCATTTGATCATTAGTTTTATTATGAAAACGTCGAGACCGGAAATACTGTTTTCAACCCGTAACTTTACATGGAGACTGCCGCATACCTCAAATCACCTTCGTAATATCTATCAAACTATAGATCCTACATATCGACTGGACGTGGATTCTAAAAGTACAATATACACTTCTCGCTAGAAATCTAATCAAAAAGCGTTTTAATGGCCAAACTACTCTACATTTTAGGATTTTACAGAGAGGGTTATTTTTGAATTAACGACCATCTGTAACGTTTGCATTCAACGGGAGCACTAGAGGGCGAAAACTTTTTAAAATGTAATTTATAGGATGTATTAAGCGCTTGAACAAACAACATATTTGGTCGTAATAAGGGCCTGAACAATCGGCCCATTTGGTCGTATGAGTTGGAGGACTTGTTTCACCTGCTGCATCCGTTAGAATGAACCATCTTTAATAAGTCTGAGGTTTCCACAGAACTGGCTGTTGACGTGCAGGGCAGGACGACAGACTCTCACTCTATCCAGCAGCAGCTTGTGACAAGTAGATTGACGCAGGTTAGCACAGGGTTCTGGCCCTCATACGCCACATGATTAATCAACTAGTGGCACTAATGGAAACTCTATTTTTGGCTTAATCCACAGAAAGATTAAGGATACTTTTAATGCATGGATATATACATTTCATGAAGGAGTGAAAGATGGGAGCCTGTAATGAGGCGACAGTGACCGAGATAAAAGCCTAATAATAGACTCGTTTGTCAGAGGCTCAGTGGCAATTGGTTGGCTGAGACTCGGTGGATTATTGTATTATCATTCCTTAATGACAGCTATGACACAGTAAGGTTCCTCAGCCTTGGAGGCGTGCTGACACTCACCAGGGAACTTCTGGAAGCTGGCAGGGAGGAAAGGAGAGTAGTAAAATCAGACCCGGCGGCAGAGATACGTCTCTGGGCGGGCATTTGATTTACCAGGGCGGGCCCACCCCGAAACTTACATTTCCCGATAACCCACGTCGTAGGACCGTTTAGC